AGGGTTTCACCATATTGATCAGGCTGGTCTCAAACTCCTGACCTCAGGTAATCCACCCACCTTGGCCTCCCAAAGTGCTGAGATTACAGGCATGAGCCACTGCACCCAGCCAGCAGTACATTTTTTTAAACTTTTATTTTAGAAACAGAGTGTACATGCGCAGGTTTGTTACCTGGTGTATTGTATGCTGCTGAGGTTTAGGGTATTGATGATCCCATCTCCCGGGTACTAAGCATAGTACCTGACAGTTTTTCAACTCTTGCTCCCCTCCCTACTTTTACCCTCTAGTAGTTGTCAGTGTCTGCTGTTCCCATGTTTATGTCCACGTGTATCCAATGTTTAGCTCTCACTTATAAGTGGTAACATGTGTTATTCGGTTTTCTGTTTCTGAGTTAATTTGCTAAGGATACTGGCCTCCAGCTACATCCATTGTGCTGTAAAGGACATGATTTTGCTCTTTTTTATGGCTGTGTTGTGTTCCATGTTGTATATGTACCACATTTTCTTTATCTGGCCCACCACTGAAGGGCACCTAGGTTGATTCCGTGTCTTTGCTATCATGGATAGCACTAAAGCAATACATTTAATACATTTTTTTTTAAATAACATGGGCTTTATGAGGCACTGAGAACTAAAACAAATGAGCACACGAGGAGGATCTGAAGATCTGTGCTTTAGCACATTATAATACTTCTTCCATTGGCTTAAGAATTTCCCTTGGGATCAATAAAACATAATCCTTATTAAAATGCGGTGTTTGAATATAAAGAACAAGGTGCACATTGCAACATCACTAGGCAAATAGCTGAACAAGCAGCAACCGCAATCATAAAGTGGGAAAACCCACTCAGGCACACCCTCTAATGAGGTGTCGGTGCAGTGCTGAGGGCTGCTAGGAAACCATTGCTATAAAGTAGTTTTCCTGTAATGTTGGATGGGAGGGCAAATTAACTATGTAGACCCAGAAGCTGATAACAAACTGTCCGTGTCTGTAAACAGCAGTCATGCATTGTTGTATATGCAGTGTAAAGATTTTTACTTTCACAGAACAGTGTGTTTGTATGTGTGTTGTGGGAGGAGAGGGAAGGAGAGAGTGTATGTGTGTTTGTGTGGGAAAGAGAGAAGAAATTCCTAGCACACGCTGACTAATAGCATTCATAATACTTTGAACATTCAGTGAAAATAATTCCTGTAATTGTTGATATAGGTATATTTGGCATTTTACTTACTTGCATATTTTTAATTAGAAAGAAATTTCTTAAAATGCTGCATGCCAAACTGTATCTGGCATGTCTTCTGTGAAGCATAACCATGACACTCTCCAGAAATGATGTTTGACACTCTTCCCATGCAGTTCAATTTATGACCTTCCTCCAGTCCTGCAGAACCATGTGGCCACCTCCTCCAGATCCATTTATGGGATCTTTTTTCCTGTAGCTATGTAGACCCTGAGAAATGTCAGCCCTGGAACCTGGAAAGTATTGACAGGACCACATTTCTCTCCCTCTGGGTCATCATCGTTAGGCGTCTGAAATTTGAGAATAGAGATGGGCACTAGAACTTTTTAAAGAAAAGAATCAGAATACAAAGAAAACAGATTTTCACTTGTGAATTTGTTTTTGCCATGTGTACTAGGGAAGTAGGAGCCTTATCTGAGCTTGAAGCTAGGTTAACTTAGAACAGAGTCAGACAATTATTAGAAGCAAAGACCGGCATCCTAGATTCCGCAGCATCCCTTCCATGAGTCTACGGTACTTTAAATTTTTTTTTTTTTACTTGAGTAGCGTTAGGTGTACAAGTGGTTTTTGATTACGTGGATGAACTGTATGGTGGTGAAGTCTGGGCTCTTATTGTTCCTATCAGCCAAATTGTGTACATTATACACGATAGGTAATTTTTCATCCCTCAGCCCTCTCCCAAACCCTTCTTCTGAGTCTCCAATGTCCATTAAACCCCTTTGTATGTCTTTGGGTACCTATAGCTTAGCTCTCACTTGTAAATAACGTGTGCTATTTGATTTTTCATTCCTGAGCTACTTTGCTTAGGATAATGGCCTCCAATTCCATCCAAGTTGCTGCAAAAGACATTATTATTTTTTATGGCTGAGTGGTATTCCATGGTGTATATGTATACCAGATTTTCTTTGTGCACTCTTCCACTGATGGGCACTTAGATTGATTCCATATGTTTGCAATTGTGAATTGTACTGTGATAAACATGTGCACACAGATGTCTTTTTATAAGATAACTTCTTTTCCTTTGAGTAGATACACAGTTGTAGGACTGCTGAATCAAATGGTAGATCTACTTTGGAGATTGCAGTCTTTTTTGGAGTTATTTCAATTATATTATTGTATATAATCACTTGGAAAAAACATTCCTTTTTTTCACAACCTTGCCAGCATCTGTTGTTTCTTGACTTTTTAATAATTGCCATTCTGACTGGCATGAGATGGCATCTCCTTGTGGTTTTGATTTGCATTTCTCTAATGATAGGCAATGTTGAGCTTTTTTTCAATGTTTGTTAGCCACATTAATGTCTTCTTTTGAGAAGTGTCTGTTCATGTTCTTTACCCTCTTTTTGACACTACAGTCTTAACTGCCAACACAAAAGTCTTACCTGTTGAGTGAAAGTCTTGGTCAAGTCTGAACTGAAATAGACTTAATTTCATGTTTCATTTGAGTCAAGGCTAAGAGTTGGCAAAAGTCAAATCAGGTCTGTGTCTTAGTTCATCTGTACTGCTAAGACAAAATGTTTGTGACTGGGTAATTTATAAACAATAGAAATTTCCTTCTTACAGTTCTGGAGGCTGGGGAGTCCAGGATTAAGGTACCAGCGTCCAGTGTCTCGTGAGGGACTTCTTGCTGTGTCCTTACGTGATGGAAGCGCTGAAGGACCAAGAGAGCTAAAAGTTTTGGAGTCTTAATCCCATTCAGAAGGGTGGGGCCCTCATGACCTAATCATCTCCTAAAGGCCCCAGCTCTTAATACTATTGCATTAGAGGCTAAGGTTCAACGTATGAACTCAGGGGGACACACTCAGACCGTAGCAGTCTGCAAATGTGCATAACGTCTACACCTAAATTGGTTTTCTTTCTGGAAACAAAACGAAAAAGGTCACTCACTTTTCTGAACATTTTAGTAGCAAGCAGATTTTACAGTTTAGCAGCCTACAACAGATGGAAAATGTTTAGGCTAAGGAGTTTTCATACTTTGGGAAGCCAAGCTGGTGGTAAAGGAAGCACAAAATATTAGAGTTAACTTTAGTTCTTTGTGTTCTAGGCCAGGTCTAGAAAGGTTAGTGAAGTGAAGAAGTTTTGGACAATGTATATACAAAGTTGATATAAAGTGAAGGACAAAGGAGATACACAGAGGAGATGATAGAACATTAGAGGTATTAGGGAAAGATGTTTTCTACTTACTCCATTGAGTGTCCGGGGAAATACAGGGAAGGGTGCTCCATACCACCCCAGTTAGCACTTCTAGCTGTAAACACAGGAGTAAACACAGTTCCTCCCTCTCTACTCTTCTCCTACTACTTTCCCCTCTCATCCCCTTCCACCTCCAGGTCAGAACCGCTTTTATCCTGTATTTCCAGAATGTTGGGGAAAGTTGAGAGAGAAAGAGAAAAAGAGAAAACAGTTGGAATATGGCTAGCTAGAGATTCTGTGGTCTCTATTCCCTTTTAAATTACCATGACCATGTGAGATTGGGCACATACACACATGTGCATGAGTGTGCACACAGACACATACTTTTCTTGTATATGTAATATATTTTTTAAAGAGATAAACATGGATTAGAAGAAAGAAAATGAGATGACAAAGAGAGATACTAAATGTGACTGCCTCTGGGGAGCAATCCTTAAATATACCCTCTTCCTCCACCCCAACCTATCCCTCTCTAAAGCAGAGTGAGAGGCACCTTCTCCCTGTTCTTCTACCACTTTGGTGAAATCTCTCTGTGTATCTTATACTATGTGATACTGTTTGCTTATATATGTCTCTCCTCATTTGGTCTGTGAGCTGCCTACATCCAGGATGTCCCTTTTCTTTACTCTGAGTGAGATGGACAGATCACACTGTGACTTCCAGTGTCCTTACAACATCTCATGGTAAAGAATAGACTGTAGGAAGTATGTGATTGTTCTAGTAAAAACTCATGATAAAATGATGTATGACTCATTCTGTATCATAGTTTGCGTTTCAACCTATACTAATGAGCCCTATTTTAATTGTTTCAGCAGTTAGTGGATAGGGGGATAACGGCAAATAATTTCCAGGCACCACGATGTTATTATTAAACTATTATGGACATGTGCAGGAATCTATGGAAATGTGAATTGGTCATGATCTTAGATCTTTAGTCATCCAATCTGAGAAATTAAATTTACTAAAACAACTCATTCAGTTTAACCACTTTAATTCTAAAATATTAAATCATGCCAGTATGTCTGGTTCTGGTATTCCTCAAGCCAAAATAATCAATACTCACACAATTAGAATTCCCAAGTTAATTACTTTATATGCCCATCAAGATTGTTTTGCAGAAAATTCATTATCTGTGATTTAATGTGAATTTATATGTTGAGATTTATGTCTATAAACAATCATTTTTGTAGGAAAAACTCTAGAACCCAAAGCACCTATTTGCTTCAGAGAATATGAAATACAGTGAAACTTACTAAACTTACTAAAAAATTTGGAGGGTCCTTGCCCTCTACTATTGCAGCAGAATTGAAGCCAGACCCCCAAACCTGATCAAAATCACATTTTTGTCACTCTTCTTTCTCCCAAATTCATAACTAAATCATAATTATCAAGGTATCTGTTAATTACAATGAGCAGGTCAACTCTTTCCAATAAATTATATATCTTTGTTGTTAGATTTTTGTAATAAAAGGTCCTCTTGTTTCAGTTTTTCAAAATGCATTGTAGTCTAGAATTATATATGCTTTCTATTTTGAGAGTAAATTATAACTGTTTTCTCCTTCATTACAGAGGACAATATATGTGCATCTTCAAATGCAGCATCCTGTGCCAGGTGCCTTGCGCTGGGTCCAGAATGTGGATGGTGTGTTCAAGAGGTGTGCCTTTTTTTTTTTTTTTTTTTTTTTTTTTGCTTTTTCTCATGGTTGACTTGAGCTATAGCATGACTTCATTTTCCTAATATTCTGTGCCTTGAAGGTGCATCAGGAAAAAGAAAGATACTGCAGAACATAAGGAAAATTTTATTTGGTTTTATACTTGGAAATAGCATATCTGGCTGAATATAAAATAAAGCATAACCTTTTTATTAGGAAAATTACGGTAATTTTGAAATGAAGTACAAACCATTTTATGTTTTCCATCTGTTCTATAGAGAGAATTGGCAACCACAGCTAGTAACTTTTGATAGTTCAGTAGGCTTTGGTGTGGAATTCTTGCTTCAGCTTGAGGCATAAGGTTATGTATCCTGTTGTTCAAAATAACTGTTTTTCTGTTCTACCAAGATAAACAGATCCTAATAACAAAATTCTTAGTAAAACAATTACAATGCATTCCTTCTTTCTTGGCTCTAGGGTTGTTTTGTGAGTTTTCTTTTTTTGTCGGTAATCTAGAGTTAGAACTGCCTGTATCTAGTAAATTGCACTGAAGAAGCAATCTGCTAATTTGGGATTTCTTCTTGTATGAGATTACCTAAATAATTTTACATTTACTTATGTAGCTCCTGGGAATTAGAACAAACAAATGGGTCTTTAATGGCCTTTTGCTTGACATGGAGATAAGTCTGTAGCTTTTGTCTCCTCTGACTTAACAACTGTGCCTACTGTTATCCTTCCGACCTCCTTTATTACTTCTTGGAGAAAAAAGAAAGTTGAAAGGTAGCAACAAATGGTGGATATCATTTTCTTCTAGGAAGCAAGTCAGAATAGAGGCAGGGGAAGAGTTCAAGAAATGGTAGGCACGTCTGAAAGTAAGTCTCCCTACCGATAGCCTAAAGGCTTCCCAGATGGACTCTGGGCTCCACCAGTGAGAAAACCAGATGTCATTCATGAACTACAAAGTGCTTCATCAGAACCCGTGGAGCCAGGCATGTCACAGAGAGGACAATTTCAGAGTTTCTGGGTCCGATCCCATCACTTCCTGTGAGCCAAATGACCAAAAGAATTCACTTTACTCTAGCATCTCCCTTTCTTCATCTCTATAACCTCAAATTTGGTGTTTGCTTCCAGGTTTTTCTCTGTCAAGAATGTTTCATGGCTTGTTATTTCCTGACCCCAAACCAGTACTTCATTTTAGATTTTTACTGCTTCACTAAGGAAAATCCTTAGAGCCCTGAAGTTTGTGCCAACTTGCTGTCAACTGCTGAATGCTTTAGTGAGGGTAGTTTGGAAGAGCCTTCAAAAGAGAAGCCCAGTTGTCAGCCACATGTAAGATGTTAGCCATAGAACATTCGATTTCAGAGGGACCCCTTCTCCCTCTCACACCTCCGACTGGAAGAAAATAATCTGGAGAGTCACAGCTTTGGGAATAACTGTCAGTCCTGCCATAGAAGGAGGGATTTTGAGTATTCGGAGGAGTCAGTTGTCCGATAGAAGGAGCTAAGTCAAGGAGAAAGGAGGTGGCTGCTGGAGGGGAGAAGGAAAATCTATCACTATTGGTGACATTCTTCAGATGGGATCTTAGGGAAAACAGTCAGAAACTCACTTGGGTGCTCGTGTCCTCAAATATTCTATACAGCGCAGTTCAGCCTAGTTTATGTATTGAAAGAGCAGGCTCTGAAGAAACACTGAGTTGGATTCAAATCCCAGTTCCACCAGTTTCTAATGTTATAAACTTGCGCATGTTACCTAACCACTTTGAATCTCAGATTTCCATACCTCTAAAATGGAAATACAAATTGAACCCTCCACACAGTCTTTGTGAGGATGAAATGAAGCAATGTGGGAAGCATTGGGCACAGAGGCATGGCTTAAGAAATGGGAGTGAGGACTATATAGAACTTTAACAAGGCTCTGGAACAACTCATTCAGGGTTAGGAAACCAGGAGGAGTGCCTGCTTTAATAACACAACCTCAGGGGAAGCAGCCAGTTTTAGGACTTAGCCACCATCCGTGCCATTAACAGAAGGAGCTGTCCACTCCCTGCAGGCCGACCTGATGTCATTGAGAGGAAGAATGTATTATTTAATTTTGGAAGATCCCTCACCCTTTAGGTGCAGATGTGGCTGATGCCAATGATTCCTCAACCAGTAAGCCTGGAAGGAGAGGCAAGGGAGAGGCAGGCCTTTTTTTTTTTTTTTTTTTTTTTTTTTTTTTCTGCTCATGATTAGGATAGATAAATGGTAACAAAGTAAACCTGGCTTGAATAATTTTCAAAGCTAGTCAAAAGCAAAAGGTCTCTAGAAAATTTAGACAGGATATATCCAGTTTGCTTGCACTACTATATAGCACGTTAATCTGCCATTCCATGTACTTTGCTTTCTCTTTCCTTCTACACTACATAAGTAATTGGAAAGTAATTAGGATAGAAAGGGCATCATCAATGTTACCTAGTTTAATGCCCCATGTTCCTTTCTAACATCTATGAAAGACATTATATATCTTGAAGAATTCCCTTCCTCTCCTACCCGTTATATCTGATGCAGAGTGTCATGCATAGTTAGAGTTCAGAGTGCAGGCTCAGAGCATAGTTATACTTTCACAGTATATATGATAGGAAAAATTTCACTGTCAAAGGGAATATGATAGAATTCTCTCACTTCTGTGCAAATTGCTATGTTTGGAAGTCAAAAAGACTCAGTCATGAGTAGGAAAAAGAAAAACCTTTTCATATATATATCCCCAGAATATTATATTAAATTGATGAAAATAACAACCAATAAAAAGCCAACCAGGTCAGGTGCAGTGGCTCATACTTTGGGAGCACTTTGGGAGGCCGAGGCAGGCAGATCACCTAAGGTCAGGAGTTTGAGACCAACCTGGCCAACATGGTAAAACCCCATCTCTACAAAAGATACAATAGTTAGCTGGGTGTGGTGGTATGTGCCTGTAGTTCCAACTATTTGGGAGGCTGAGGCAAGATAATTTTTAGAAGCTGGGAGATGGAGGTTGCAGTGAGCCAAGATCGTGCCACTGCACTCCAGCCTGGATCAGGAGGGAGACTCTGTCTCCAAAATAGAGAGAAAAAAAAAAGCCAACCAGAGAAACTTCAGTCTGAGCTTTTCCTTCTCAAATAGGTTTTAGATGCAGAAAGTGGAGTAGGATTTTTGCTTGTGTTTTTCTTGTAGAAAGAGTAAAAACATAAGGATTAGAAGAAATTAAAATGATATAAAATACCAAAAATGCAATATTTGCTATGTCATTTTCTTTGAATGTAACTGAGATGATATACACTAAAAACATCAGTGATTTTCTTTCTTTTAAACAGGATTTCATTTCAGGTGGATCAAGAAGTGAACGTTGTGATATTGTTTCCAATTTAATAAGCAAAGGCTGCTCAGTTGATTCAATAGAATACCCATCTGTGCATGTTATAATACCCACTGAAAATGAAATTAATACCCAGGTGACACCAGGAGAAGTGTCTATCCAACTGCGTCCAGGTTTGGTCATTTTCAAATACATCTATAATGATTCTTAACTTGAAATTGCAACTTATTTTAATTTGCTCATTTTAAATATTATGTGGCAGGCAGTATTGTTATTGTAGAAGCCACAGTGGACTCAGAATCAAGAAATTAGAATTCTAGTCTTTATAGTGCCTGCAGCCAGTTGTGTGTCTTCGGACACTGCAAACCTGACCACACTATATTCTAATTATGTGTTCTGTTCACATAATCTGATCAGGTTGTGATGTAATTGTGTTTTTCTACTCTACTGTGAGCCCTAGGAGCAAGGGGACATGTTTATTCCACTCTGTTTTTCCAATGCCTAGCAGAGCGCTGGCATGTAGTAAGCACTCCATAAGTATTTGCTAGCTTGATTGATCCCCTTTGGAAGGGATCTTCCAAAATTAAATCAATCAAGCAATCAATATTTATGTGATTGTGATTTAATCACAACCAACTTGTGATTAAAAGTTTATTACAAAGTTCTTAGAGCTTTTGTAATAGACTTTCAATCACAAGGCTGCAATTCATGATTATCATAATTACCTTGGGCCATTTTGTGATGGCCCCTAAGATTAATTTACACCTTTTCTCCTATACCTCTTTTTTACTTCCCCTTCCTTCACAGTGTATTTCACAGTTTGGCCTATGTTGTAGGCCACTGGACATTATTCACTTTCCTCCACTGCTACAGAATCCTGGTGTAAAAACTACATATAGTAAGATAAATCAAGGTACACAGATGTGCACCACTCAATTAGATGCATGTAGTTTAAAATAGCTCGCAATTGTATCCAAGCCTTTGTCATTTCATTGTGGGTGGTCCTGTCCTGTCATTAATTTTTAAATAACCATTCTTGACACATTCCCTTCCCCATTCCAGAAATGTGCTATTTCTTCCAGACTCTGATTATCAGAAAAACAAAATCCATTACTTTCTTGGCCCTGGGCATATTCCCAGTTTCCAATTAAAACTATGCTCTTTCCCTTATTAAATAATGAAACAGCCCAGTATGGACATTGTGAGCAACAGCTGGAAAGGGATATACGAAAATGAAAGTAATTAGATTGGTAAGATTATAGCTATTCTCACCTTCCATTGTAAAAAATTATTTAGTGTGGTAAATAAATTCTTTTTAGAAAAAGAGAAAGAGAGAGGGTGAAACAAAAATTATATGCTCTTGTTCACCTAATTCCAATTCAATACATCCACTAAACTCTGCCCTTAGATATTCCTATAATTACACATGCCTCTCTCGTCTGTGTTTTCTTTTGCCTTTTTCTTAGTACTGGAAAGTTTGAACATTATCCCTAAGCTGGTAACCATTTTTAGCTCTTTTTTGTGTAATTTGTATCTCCATACAAATATGCCTATTTTTCTAATCGAATGCCAATTTTCAGCAGCTTATATATAAAGGTTACCATATATCACTTGCCTCTAGTAAATATGACTACATCCTTAAAAATGTTTTATTCTTTTTTAAATTCTTGAGATGTGACAATCATAAGCTGCATTTTTTTATTTATTTATTTTTCTTATGCTCCTTCATGCACACTGAATATAAGCTGTATTTTAATGTTATAGTTGCCCAACCATCTTTAATGATTTTTTTCTTTTCCTGTTATCCTAATAGGTTTGTAGTCCTAGTTTTTCTGATCTATATGAGCCTGAGATTACTTCTAGCATCCCCAATTTCTTATGCATTTCCATATCCCCAGCAAGACTACATACTAGAGCCTTTCCCATTGTTAATCTACCTGATTCTTCAGGATCTTAATCCAGGCCATCGCCCCTTTCAGCACACATGTAATTCCATTACATTTCAGCTTTCATACTCAAATGAGTCTGGAAATACTTCCCAGTTCACACTTGAAGAGTAAGTTGTTAATATCATCTTTCCTGCAAATCTTTCAGAATTCTCAATACCTGCCTCTTCACTCTTCATTTTCCTTCAACAGGATTTTCAAAATAGCAGAATTGAAAAACCCACACCTTAATATTTGCACATGAAGTAAATAGGAATTATATAATAGAATAGAAAAATAATTAATAAACAGTCTCTTAGTCTGTTTGGCTGCTATAGCAAAGTACCATAGATTGGGTGGCATACACAACAGTTTATTTTCTCATGGTTCTAGGGGATGGAAACTCCAAGATCAAGGTGCTAGTGGATTTGGTTACTGGTGAGAAGTCTCATCCTGGCGTGCTATGTCCACACAGGACAGAGAGAAAGTGATAAAGAGAGAGAACACACATGCACAAGAGTGAGAGAGTGAAAGCTCTCCAGTATCTCTTCTTAGAAGGGCACTAATCCCATCATGTGGGCTCCATCCTCGTGACATCATCTAAACCTAATCATATCTCCCAGAAACCCACTATTCAAATACCATCACATTGGAAGTTAGGGCTCCAACATATGAATTTTTCAGAACACAATTCAGCCAATAGCATTTGATACATACATAATATTTTCAAAAGTCCATGGAATATTTTTAGAAATGAATTACACTTTAGGCAGGAAAACACAATTCTAAAAATAAAGCTGTTCTTATATGCCAATATCTATAAGCATGGCATAGTAAAATTTTAAATCAATACAAAATGATAAGTAAATATTAAATAATGGCAACTTTCAGAGAAGCCTCTCATAAATAATTCTATCTCCAAGAATAAATTGAAACTCTAGTCCTATAAGCCAATAATAATAGTAACAAGACTTCAAAATATACGGGTTGTTACTGAAGTTGTTGTTAGGAAAATTCACAACTTTAAGTGATTTTATTATTAAAGAAAAATGAATCCAGATGAACTAAGCATTCAAGGATATAAGAACAAGATAAACAAAAAAATTCATAAGAAAAACAGAAAAGAGTTCCTAAATTTAATAACAAAGCAAAATTAATGAAATGCAAAATAGGAAAAAAAGAATAAAATGAATGTATAAATCCAAGAGCTGGTTCTCTGTAAAGTCTAATGAAATAGATAAATTATTGGCAAATCTAATTAAGAAAAGAGGACAAAAATCAAATAACCTAATTATATAAACCATAATTATAGAAAAAATTTCAGAAAGAAGCCTTTAAGAAATATTAAGTACAAAAATCTATGATAAACTGTTTAAATCTTGATAATATAGATAATTTTCTAGGAAAATATGTCTAAAATTGACTCAAGATAGAGAACCCTAAGAAACCTAATATACAAGAAGTTTAAAAAGTTATAAATGTTTATAATTATAAAAATTATAATTACCTCCCTTAATAAGCAATACTCCCTAAAGACATTAGGTCTAAATGCTTTCATGAGAAGAAATGTTTCATTATCATTCAAATACTGAAGGAATACATTATCTCTGTGGTATATAAACTCTTATATCACTTTATTTATTTATTTATGTATTTATTGTTGTCATTATTATTATTTTGAGATGGAGTCTCCCTCTGTCACCCAGGGTGGAGTACAGTGGCGCGATCTCAACTCGTTACAACCTCTGCCTCCCAGGTTCAAGCGATTCTCCTGCCTCAGCCCCCTGAATAGCTGAGATTACAGGCACCTGCCACCATGCCCAGCAATTTTGTTTTTGTATTTTAAGTAGAGACAGGGTTTCACCTTGTTGGCCAGGCTGGTCTTGAACTCTTGAACTCAGGTGATCCGCCTGCCTCAACTTCCCAAAGTGCTGGGATTTCAGGAGTGAGCCATCGAGCCCGGCCTAAACTATTCCATCACTTTAGAGGATGCCTAGAAGCTACTTAACTATTACAAGGTTAGCATAACTCTATTATCAAATTCTTAATAAAATTTTAGCAAATCAAATTAACTGTATGTGATAAGAAGAACAATATCACCAAACAAATAGACTTAAGCTAGAAAACCAAAGATAGTTGATTTTTGGAATTGATTTATTTTTATGATGTTAGTTTGCCAAAAAGAGATAAAACATTGCTATCTCAATAGATAACAAAAAATCATTCAATAAAATTTAGTGCCCATTTCTGACAAAACCAAAATTGAAGAATACTCCCTTAGGGTATATTAAAATCCTTCTCAAAAGTATACATAAATATGATTACATTTTTAAAACTTAAATAAGAGTTATAAACATTTTGAAAAGATAAAGCAAAATTATCATGCCATGGAAAATCCAAGCAAATCAAGTAAAGCTAACTATTGAATTTTTTAAAATTTTACTCTGGCAGGTTGTTTTTTAAAATATTCAAAAATCAGTGAATTTCCTTTGTAATATTAAATATAATGAAGAAAAATGATCAATTGTGTGATTATCTCATAAAAGCAACCTAGAATGTAAACTGTTTAGGAATAAACTTTTAAAAAAGTATAAGATCTGGGAGGGGGGAGGGATGGCACTGGGAGTTATACCTGATGTAAACAACGAGTTGATGGGTGCTGACAAGTTGATGGGTGCATCACACCAACATGGCACAAGTATACATATGTAACAAACTTGCGCATTGTGCACATGTACCCTAGAACTTAAAGTATAATAAAAAATAATAATAATTTTTTAAAAAGTATAAGATCCATTGTGCTGCTTAATAGAAAATATGAATAAATGGAGAAGAATTTTATGCTCCTGAATATAATAGCATAATAATGACAGTTCTCTATAAATATAGTCTATAAATATAACAAAGTCCAAGTGAATCAATAAATGTAAGACAATCAATCCAAATCAAATCTGAATGAAGTTTTTTAAAACACATCTTCACTGAAACTTACTATGCGTGTATCTTTGTATATAACCGCATATTTCTTTAGCATGCATTCCTGGCAGTAGAAATGCTAGGTCAAATGTATGACAATGTACTTACTTTTTAATGTATATTGTTACATTATTCACAAAAAACTTCGATGTTCAGTTTTGCCTTTCATTAGTCAACCATGCCTGCTTTCATTCTTTTTAATGTCTGCTATTTGTTTAGTCCATTAGCTGTTTTCTTTTGCCTTTTTCCTAGAACTAGAAAGTTTAAACATT